TGAGCCCAGAAGTTTGAGGCTGCAGTGAGCTATGATCACACCACTGTACTCCAGCCTGGGTGACAGTGTGAGACCCTGTCTCTAAATAAGAATAATAACAATGAATCTCCCCTACAGCATGCATATAGAGATAGGCACAAAGTAGCTACTCAAGAGTTTGTTCCTCAAATCGACCTTTTCCCACCATCTGTTCAATCCTTTCATTTAAAGATGGAGACACAGACTTAAGTACCTTTTCCAAAGCCACCCATTCTACTCATAACAGATTTTATCCTAGAGCCTGACCTTTCTTTTCAGAACAGTGTTCTATCCACCCAACACTGCTTCCTTTGCTTTTTGCTAGCTAATAAACCTTAAGGTAAGAGGTGATCATGGGATTCATATTTGACGGAAAAAATAAAAATGAACAAAAATCGTGATCTGACTATAAAGTACTGAAATTATTGTTTTTTATTCATTTAACAAATAGCCCCCACATGCATCTGCCTCTGTCGTAGGCGGGTATTCTGGGGCAAACAGGACATGCTCCTTGACCTCAAGTAAGGTCACTAAGTGGAGGGAGGAACTGTACAACTTACCAGAGCTTCATATACCCTCAAATCGGCAATCTGGGAGAATATCTACTTATTATTTTTTCAATTGCTGGTAAGTCCCTTTGAACCAGTTATGAGGCAAACAAAAATGTCAGCTTACAATTTTATAAGTGCATTTAAATTCTTTTTTATTTTTTTTAGATGGAGTCTTGCTCTGTCACCCAGGCTGGAATACAGTGGCATGATCTCGGTTCACTGCAACCTCTGCCTCCTGAGTTCAAGCAATTCTCCTGCCTCAGCTGCCCCAGTAGCTGGGACTACAGGCGTGTGCCACTACGCCCAGCTAATTTTTGTATTTTTAGTTGAGACGGGGTTTCACCATGTTGGCCAGGCTGGTCTCGAACTCCTGACCTCGTGATCTCCCTGCCTTGGCCTCCCAAAGTGCTGCGATTACAGGTGTGAGCCACCGTGCCCGGCCTTAAATTCATTTTTAATCAACAATGGTATCATCCAGCTGGACCAATTGAATATGGCACTTGGGTTTTTTTTTGAAAACACAAAATAACCTCCAAAGACAACGAATTTCTTCCACTAAGTATACTGAAAGAATATGCTGTAGATTCTTAGGTCTGCCATGAAATGGGAGGTTCAAAGATGTTTTGCCTAAGGCTAGGCAGCATCACTGCCCTGAAAGGACCTATACTATTCAAGATGAGTATGTTTGTATGCATTTGTTAAAATGATGAGTTCTAGAATTTATATTAAATTTCCAGACAGGCCTAGAGGCAGATGCCAGGATCGCCTTAAGTCACCTTGATACCCTTCCAGCTCTGTGATTCTACGATTGCTTATACTGGATTTCTCCAACCCTGCGATGGGCTGAAGAGCTATTTCTGTCCTAGTTCTTTGCCTTATATAGGTCAAATCCCATTCCAATGAGTACCATAACAATAACCACCTCATGGCCTGGTTATTTTAGAAAACCTGATGAAATGAGAATCAAGTATGACCTCCAAACCGAAGTGGGCTGTTACAGAATTTGACCTGAATATTACTTAAGCAAGGAGGTGGCCAGTGTCTTAGGTTTTCATTTTCATGGCACTGAACCACTGTAAAATTATTAGATTGAAGGTACCAAGAATCTATTAGTGAATCCAAACAACTGTACCCAGAGTCCCTAATCAGTGACTCCATGTGCCTGATAGATACTACAAAATCAGAATGTCAGGGGACTGAATGCTACGAATTTCCACGTAAGAATGGTCTCCAACTTATGCCTATCCACTATAGCCAAAGAGGGTCAGGGCAATTGTCCATCTTAATTCAGGGCTATTAATAAGCCTTCTTTTCAAATTGGGCATCCCAAACCTGAGGTTTCTTTCTCCAATCTCTCCCAGGGAGCTAGATCCATGCTTCTTTTTGCATTCATTGTTCTTGCTTGAAACGAGGTGCTAGTTGCTGCTCTCTGAAACGTACCTTTACAAGAGTGTAAAGACCCTAAGGGTACATATTTGGTTGGCTGATTCCCAGCTATGCTTAATATCTGGGTTCTCTCATTAGAATTTAAGTTCCACAAAAGCATGAAATCTCATGCCTAGAACAGTGCCTAGCACATAGTAGGTGCTTGATAATTATTTGTTGAAATAATGAATGAATAATGATGGATAGTTATTCTTTGAGACCCAATTCCAATGCCACCTGTCCCTCCCAAAGCAGCTATGTGTCTCTCCTCTGATCCTTTAGTACTGTTTGCATTTCTCTATAGTAATACTTACAGGATACTCTCTTTATTGTTTATATCTGTTTTCCCAATTAAGCTGGGGAATCTTTTATGGGAGGAACTATGCTTTATAATGCCATATGTTTTGTTCCTAAAACAATAGGAGTTCAATAAATGCTTATTGCTTGAATGGTTGAAAGAGTGAATAAAAATATTTCTCTTATCATGATAAATGCTAAAGATTTGTGATTTAACCTTATACCTCAAATTTTGCCTGAACTCAAGGGCTTTCCATGGATCAAACTGATGAAGCCATGAGTCACCGGGCTTGGAGGGGAGGGGTGTTTGTTTGTAGAGGATTTGCTTCCCGACCTCGATGAATCACATGTGTAATCACCCAAACTGCATCCTGTCTGGGGAAGTAACCAAAACCCCTATTTCTGGCCTCAATGGCTTTTTGGTTTTATGAGTAAATGCCACTGGCATGTCATTAAATAAATGCCCTCAGAAAGTCCTCAGCCAGTGCTATAACCTACAATAGTCAGGGTTGTGACAGAGAAGCAGCCTTGCAATTAGAGAACAAGGTAGAGGAGGTACTTTTTCACCTGGCATCTTTCTGGTGACCTGCCTCCAAGCTCTTTTCCAATATAGGTCACACTCTACTCCCAATCACAGGTGTGATCATGTAATTCTCCTGCACACAAAGAATCAGTGGTTCTCACTATCTACAGAATAAAGACCAAACTTCCTAACTTATAATCCAAGGCTCTCCAGAATCTGGTTCCATCCCGTTTTACCTCCCTTGTCTTCTTCTATCTCCATATAACCATATGTTCCACAAAACGGAACAATTTTCTGAACACATCCAAACCCTACACTTCGCTCTTATGCTTTCGTTCCCTCCTAGAATGCCACTCCTCCCATTTTCAGATGCCCAACACTTGTGTATTCTTCAAGTCTCACAAAATGCCACTTCCTCCATCATGTCCTCTGTGATTGTCTAAGGAAGAATGACTTCTCCATTGAACATACTTAAGATTTTATCTGTACTCCCATCCCATTGCTTATTTCTAATAACATGTAGGCACATGTTTGTTTCTCTAATCAATTTTCTTAGTCAATGTGATACTCCAGCTCTTACCAGGGCCTGCCACAGTGGACACTCAAAGTAAAAGTTGGTTGAAGAAAAAATTGAATTCGTTCAATTGTTTGAATCCTTATCTTTGGCTTGGAATATTCAGGAAAGATTCAATGTAAAAAAGTCTTACTCTTATGTATCTCATTTTATCCCTCACCCCTTTCCAAGAAAACACGAGATTAAGAAAAGCTTTGGTCCCAGCAAACAATTGTTGTTTTATATCTATGAATATCAAAGGCAAGGTTTTCATTCCAGGCATCCTTCCGCCTGATATCTAGCACTTCGGGGCCCACTTTGCTAACAGATGTCCTAAGCTCAGAGGGGAAAATATAATTTTGATATTAACTTGAATAAAAATGAAACATAACGAAGCGAGGATTTACTGTTTCAAAATGCAAATTTTTAAAAAGATAGTGTATTCCAAAAAAAAAAAGACTTTTCTGTTATCTGCTGTTTGGGAATATTCATGCCACAGTGCCAGTTTCAGCGTGGACACATTCCTTTCAGTATGGATAAGTGAGAGTTGATGCAGTAAAGTTTAGCTTTGACTACAAACCACTTTGCTTTCCTTTCTGTTTATTAGTATAACTCTGGTTATGAGAACAAGGACATAGAAGCAGACAAGGCTAAAAGCACCCCGGCCAAGGTCAGATAATGAGAGAAAAGAATGTCAAAAGTTTTATTTTCTCTACTGTCTTTGGGCAATGGTCACATCTAGGTGGATAAAAAAGACAGGTAGCCATTATTGCAGTTTGAGAGCCATCTCCTTTCCTGTTTCTAGAAAGCTGCCGCTGGGGCAGCATTCTTCCTTCTTTAGAGGTCAAGTCCTCCCTACACCACTTTATGACTGAATGACTATAGAAAAGTCGGCAACTGGTCATCAGAGAAATGCAAATCAAAACCACAATGAGACGCCATCTCACACCAGTTAGAATGGCAATCATTAAAAAGTCAGGAAATAATAGATGCTGGAGAGGATGTGGAGAAATAGGAACGCTTTCACACTGTTGGTGGGAGTGTAACTGGGAGCGTAAACTAGTTCAACCATTGTGGAAGACAGTGTGGCGATTCCTCAATGATCTAGAACTAGTAATACCATTTGACCCAGCAATCCCATTACTGGGTATATACCCAAAGGATTATAAATCATGCTACTATAAAGACACATGCACACATATGTTTATTGCAACACTATTCACAATAGCAAAGATTTGGAACCAACCCAATATTCATCAATGATAGACTGGATTAAGAAAATGTGTCACATATACACCATGGAGTACTATGCAGCCATAAAAAAGGATGAGTTCGTGTCCTTTGTAGTGACATGGTTGAAGCTGGAAACCATCATTCTGAGCAAACTATCGCAAGGACAGAAAAGCAAACATCACATGTTCTCACTCATAGGTGGGAACTGAACAATGAGAACACTTGGACACAGGGTGGGGAACATCACACACTGGGGCCTGTCGTGGGGTGGGGGGAGTTGGGAGGGATAGCATTAGGAGATATACCTAATGTAAATGACGAGTTAACGGGTGCAGCACACCAACATGGCACATGTATACATATGTAACAAACCTGCATGTTGTGCACATGTACTGTAGAACTTAAAGTATAATTAAAAAAAAAAAAAAAGAAAAGTCAGCAATTTCTTCATTAGTTAAGTGAAGATAATAATACATAACATGGTCAGACTTTATAAACTCTAAAGTGCTGTTCAAATATTAGCTACTGTTATAAATTCAAAGATGAGTATTTTTTTCCCCATTACGTAACACAGAGGTTGGCAAACTTTTTTTTTTTTTATTGGTGAGAGAATGATAATAGCATTTTAACATTTGTGGACCATGTGGTCTCTGTTGTAACAACTCCATTCTGCCTCTATAGTAGAAAAGCAGCCAAAGACAGTATCTAAATAAATGGATGGGCTTTGTTCCAATAAAACTTTATTTATAACAGGTAGTGGACCAGATTTGGCCCATGGGACACATTTGCAAATCTCCACCCTACACCTTTGGTGAGAATGAAACACCAGAAGCAGAGGGGAATATCTAAATTCTGTTTGTGGCATGAAGAGTAATATAGTTGGGTTTTGTGATCAGTTGTCTTGAGGCTTTCAAACATCTTTTTAAGGTACTCTCTTTAACATTAGAGTTTTAATTTCGTACATTATCACTACCATCTTCATCGTCATCAATATCATTTTGTACCTATCTGAGAAGTAGTACCAAGAGAGGTATAAAAGCACACCAGTTTTCTATACCTGTCACTTGACCATACTCTGTTCTGGGAAAGACAGCTCTGATTATTGTTAAAGAAAATATCAATCATACTTCTGGCGAAAGGTCTTTACATTTTTTAACAAATTGGTCCTTTGAGCAAGATGAATTTTAATGGATTGGTTTATTAACCTAAAGGTTGAACTAGACTGAGAGTAACTGAATGATTTGCTCATAATTAGTATTATTTATAATTATTTTACTTGGGAAAAAATATCACCTTAAATGTCAGGATGTTTTTTAATTGCTTCAGATGAGATTCAAAATAATTGACTTCGCATATTTATTTTTAAAAACTCATTTAAAAATGTCTGAAGCTGCTGACAGTCTGTCTAGAAGAGGCAAGATATTGATATTCATTACTAGGAACAGGGCAGAAATTGATCCATGATTTTTTTTAACCACATGAATTGTGTATTGTGGTCACTTCTGGACTCTAAAATAGTTGCAATACTGATAGAGTGATGTGTTTGTTCCTCTTCCCCATTAAATCTGCTATCTAAGTGAAGACGCTTTGTGTGTGGATGTAGGTATACGTTTCTTGCTCAAATACATATTTACATATATTTTTATTAAAAGGGGAATGGGCACATGCACGAAAAAAGGATGTATATATGTATTTAGTATTTGTAGAAGAATACAAATAGTCTATGTACACATTGTGCATCTATTCATGTGATTTAGATAGGATACTAAGTTTTTGACAGTGAGTAAGTATATGACAAATTTAGCATCTCTATAAATATTTGATTTATCAGTTGATTGGTGGAAATGAAAAAAAGTAAGAGAATATATTAACAGCTGGGGAAAGACAGCTTTTCAAATAATTTAAATTGTGAAATATGGGTAAATCACTAGTAAGAAACATGCAACAGAATAATGACAATAAAACCTTACAATTATACAGCACTTGGAGAGTTACGAACTGTTGGCGTGTGCAGTATAATCTCATGTGCCCCTTACATCTACATTTGGATGCACAAAGGAAGGATGGTAACAGTTTCATTTGACAGATGAACAAGAGAAGTCAAGTGATTTTCCCACCATCTACACTGCCTTCCCCATACACCACATGGCCTCTGGAACCCAAGCGAAGGGTGAGTGCATCTATAGGCATCAAAGCCAACTTCAGTCTTCACAGCCAGACTCAACCAGCCACACCCAGTGTGCAGAACCCAATTTTCCATCCAAGAAATTTCAATGAACTAAGAAACAAATGACCCAGACCAAAAAAAAAAAAACAAAAACAAACAAACAAAAAAAAAACACATTTCAGGCAAGGAATATAGTGATGGGATGATTAACTGATTAACAGAGACTCTTATTTGCTTCTTCCAAGCATATTTAGTCTGATCATGTGCCTGAGACACGGTGTGACATTTGCTCCGGCAGCAGTGTCCAGGACACAGACAAATCACTCATCTAGGTAGCCAGGCAGACACCATCAATCATTATCTGCATGTTTGAGAAACACAAAACTGTAGCCGAGGTCGGGGAAAAGAACATTTGATGGTGGCTAAAAGGTAAGAACACAAAGATTCCTATTTATCTGCCAAAAAGGTTACTCTAACATGTGCTGTGGAAACAGAGTCATATATTCTAAATTTTCCCACAGATAGTAGGTTAAGGCTAATATACCTATATAATGTATATGTTATATATTATCTTATTCTTCATATATATATTTCTCCACAGCTCAGTAGGCAAATCCGTTGTTGAGGATAGGAAGAATATAATAACTGATTAATTATTATTAATGCCATATTTTATTTAACTAGCAATTGTAGTCTATTAAAAGCATTCATTCACACTATCTGACTTATTCATCCCTCAGAAAAACCCTGTAGGGCTCATAAGTAATATATTATTATCTTCCTTTTATAGACAAAGGAAAAGGAAACTCAGATATTTCTTTTCTTAAGCCAGTCTCACCAGAAAGTGGCAAAGCCTGGACTAGAACACGGAATTTCTGACTCCTAATCCATTACCTAGAACGACTGTGGAAGAGCCGAAGGAAGAAAGGGAAAGTGTGAAACATGAGTTCTGAGCGGAGAGGACCTGAAAACACCCTCAGACCAGAATTCCTTCTAGTTTGGGTTAAAGTCCGGAGTGGGTGTGGCTATATGACACAACCAGAATGATTAGATTGACTTTCTGGCACACCTACTCACTTTGAATTTTCTTGTGCAACTGAGCCTTTAGTGTCAATCTCCCATCCTCTCGTGTCTTGTGAAGTTTCCGGGGTGGCCGAGTTGGAACCAACTTCAAACCCTCTTATGTCTCTGATTCACTTTCCAAACCCTCCCTCTCCCACTCCGTGGTCAGCCTTTCGCATCACACCCTGCAAACATTTTTTTCTTTTGCACTCCTTTGGAACTCCTTCCTCCTCTCTCCCTCCGTCTCCCAACTCCTCTGCACTGCCTTTCCCCTTTAATCTCTGCTGACCACCTTTTGTGAATGCTCCATCCACTCCTCCCCCCGTCACGACTGTCCTCTTGCGGGTTCCTACCTGTGTGCTCTGCAGCCACACGCACCTCCTGGTTGCCCCTCAGATGTCTTGGTTCTGTGTGTCTGATGCCGCCAGCCTCCACCCGGGGCCTGTGAGCTGTGCATGTCTTCAAGCTCTTTGTTACTTTTCCTCCTTAATTTATAATGCTAGGCAAATAACAACACACAATAAAAGATGGTATCAGCTGTGTTTCTCGCCTGCAGCCTCCAGAAGTGTTATCTTAGACCCCATCATTGCAACAAAGAAATCTCTCAGTTGAGTGAGTGAAAACCAGTTACAGGACAGGAGGAGAAAACTTCTGCGCTTCCAAAATTCCGCAGCCCCAGCTGCCCTCCGGGGGCTCCCCCTTGTGGGAGATGTGGGGCATGGCAAGGCAGTGCCCAGTTGGGACGGTGCCTGGGTGGGAGGAGGGCGAGAGAAGATGCTCACACTCAGGGATGTGCCCCAGAGGGCGTGGAGTCCAGCTCCGGCCTTGAAGAACGGCCTCTGTGTGAGTTGCACGGTTGAGGTCCTCTGTAATTTCTCAGGAAAATACTTTGGGGAGACGGAGTCCTCAGGGCCTGGAGGTCTCTGGGTCCAGGTGAGTGTGGTGTGAGTAATAAGCCTGCGTGGCTTACGCTCTGCATGGGAAGTCCTGTCTCACAATCACAATGTATCATAAAGTCGGATGTTCACACAGGGCTGTTCTGAGAGACAAGACGTGGTCTCCAGTCTCTGAGTAAAAGACATGATGGTCCAATCTCCTGGATTCTCTTGCCACCGTGGACACTTGGCCTTTCAGTCTCTCTAGAGCTCTGGACACATACTGCTCCCACCTTAGTGAAAACAGACTGTATGTCCAAATAGTATCTTTCTCCAGAGAAACACGGTCTCATTTATATAACCCACTCCGGCAGGTATCGTTGTCATCCTCCTCCTCCTCTTCCTCCTCCTCCTCATTTTAGTGTCACACAGCTTCTTTTGCTTATGGTTATTATTATTTTTTAATCTTTATTACTGTAGTGTCTATGTTGCTTATGGAGAAACAGCTCATGAAGTAGCTGTGGTTTTTAATAAACGGAGCTTTATTATTTTATTCCAAGTTCAGTATCACATATGGTTCAGTACAGAGCTGCCACCAACATCAGAAAGGTAGTCGAATTTAACAGAGGCCAGTGGAAATGGGTCTGAGATTTGTTTTGCTGAAATTGTGAGCTCCCTTGCCAGGACTGCTGGAAGAGTCAATGAGACAATGTGATGTGGCAAAACAACCTCTAGGCTTCAACAGATCTAGACTTGATACCTAGCTCTGCTACTTATTTTATGCTCAATTAACCACTCTCACCTCAGTTTCTTTGTCCATAAAATGGAGTTAACTTAGTTTCACAAGCAAGATCTCACAACTGGTATCATGGCAAAATGAAATAATATGTCACAAACCACATGCTAACCTACAGTTCAGTGGCAGAGCACAGTTGTCATTCTGGAAAGTTTCCTTGTTTGGATTCCACTAACTATACTGGTAAATAGAGAGCATCCCACCAGGACTATTGGTTGTTTCCTCCACATTTGACATCATGACCAGTTTTCTCCCGCAGACTCGGTCTGGGTCTCTCTGTCTGTGTCACATCCAGCATACTGTTCTCACAGCGGGGGAGCCAATCAGTGCTCCTAAATGGTGTGGCTCATTGTCCTGTATTGAGGATGATCAGTGAGTGTCTCTCCCACTTTTCTCCAGAGACAGAACATAGTCTAGACATACGGGGCAGGAGAAGGTCAGGAACCCTGGCTTCTGATCTTAGCTCCACTTGCTAGTGCACTGGAAATGATACAGGAGGTTGCACGAGTCTCTGGTTCTGTTGCAGCTACTTTATGAGTTCCTTCTCCATAATGAACATTGGTATTACAGGAATAAAGGCAAAAGACAGCAATAACATTAAGCAAAAGAAGTTGTGTGCCACTTAAATGATAATGATGATGATGAGGATGATGACAAAGCAGAAGAAGGTATGTCAATTGATGATATTGCTATGAACCATAAACTCAATAAATATTTCTCAGACCTATGTTGGGCCTAGGGCTGAATACGAAAGGATTAAACTGCCCTGAAGATAATTAAACCCTGTTACAAACTCAGGTCAAGTAAAAAAAAAACAAAAACAAACAAACAAACAAAAAAAACAAAAAAAAAAAAAACCAGCAACAAGAATTTAGAGAAATCAAGAAAAGCTGCAAAAACAAAAACAAAAATATTCCCTTTCACACAAATAGATCTAAAACTGAGAACCTTTAGTGACAAGCCCGCTGGGAAAGACGGGATCAAAATCCAGAATTACTTCTACAGGAGGAAGTATCAGAGGGTCTGGAGCATGTGAGGGACACGGGGTCATGAGTGGAGAAACAGGAAAATGAGTGTGAGGGAAGGAGAGTCTGGTTCCCCTTCGGACTGGCAGACCATTCCATTCTGCTCTGCACCCCACACCAGGAAAAATGCAGGACCCAGACAATAGGACAACCAAGATATAGAAGCAACCATGTCATGAGGAATTTGAAGAACTGGAAATATTTAGGCAGATAAAGATACAACTCTGTAATTGCTGTCTTCGAATATTTAAAGGGCTCTCGATTAGAAAATGGTGGGATTTGCTCCGCCCAGTTTCAGGAAATAGAATGGAACTAACGGAGAGACACGTCAAAGAGAAATATTTTTGATCCACTATAAGAAAAATATTCAGGTAGTTTAGCCCAGATTTGGAAAGGTCACTTTGTGTCTGGAGAAAGCTGTGAGGGCTCTGTCACTGGACGTTCTTTGGTCAAATGGAGGGCCAGTCATGGAGGCTGCCTGCACTGAAATAACCTTTGGGATCCTTGTAGCTCTTGGACTATTTGAGTCTATGAACAACCTGGGATCCAAAAGGAGAAACTAGGCAAAAGAAGCATGTGACATCCTCACACAGAGCATTTTAACTCCTGCTGCGGGATCTCCTGGTCTAACACATTAGCTGATCAGATAAATCCAAAGTGTGCTTGCGGCCTTTTCCTCTCTTTCCCTTGAGCAGCACTATTTCTTTAACTATCACAGGTAAGTCCAAGAGTTAGGCACCTCCTCGGTGGGGCAAATGGCCTTTAGTATAGTGGAAAACACAAAAGAAAAGACAAAACTCCTACATTGAATGACCAGTTTAAGGAGAATCGCAGTTCTCAAAAGAGATGATGTTTAGAAGCCATCTTATCAAATACCTCCCCCGATGTCTGAATTCCGTCCATATCTTCCCTGATTGAGTGGTTGTCTGATCTCTGTTTGAACTCAGTCTCTGCAGTCAATTTGATTGGAGGCCATTCTGATGGGGCTCAAGAATAAGCAAAACACACGCATAGAAAATGCAGTTAGCAAGACATGGACGCGAGGGAAAAGGCACTTTGGTATAGTACCAGACTACAAGGCAGAACCTAAAGCTAATTAGAATTTCTTGAAGTCAGAATTACAGTAAATTTTAAAAGTCCTACCTACAGTTTGAGGAGACACACTTGGGACACACAGTGCCAGTAAAAACTATAGGTGACGTTCTTGCCTATTCTGCAATCTTTTGCATCTGTGTGTGAGCCTTACATTGCAGGCTGGGAAGGTACAAGAATAGGGGCAGCGCAGTAGAAAGGGTGCAGATTGCTAAAAAGGAAAGACTAAATACTACGGGGCTTTGGGTGGGGCCAGTATGTGGTATGTGTTTGGAGTTGCTTTCATGATATTATCCTGGACAGGGTTGCAAAGACGGGTGCAAAGCTGATGAGGGTGTCAGATAAGAGAAATGGAGCATTCAAGAATTGACCTCTGATTGAGCAGAGGGAACCCTGAGCTCAGGCAGAGGAGAAAAACAGAGTTTGGGGATGAAGAAAAAGGGAGAAAAATTGAGAGGTAGGGAGATGTGAAGGGAGAAACTGCATGAGAGGTCTAAGATATCTGGGACGTTTCCAAGACCATCTCAGGGTCTCAAGCGGTGATGAGAGGCAGGAATAAGGGTAAATGTTGAGGAGGAAGAAGGAGGCCAGGCACTGAAAGATCTTCTGAGTAGAAAGAAACAGAAAGAAAGCTAGACTCATCATAAGACTTGGTGTCTCCATTTCCCAACTAGCTCACTTCTCAGGAGAGAGAATCAAAGGGCACCTTCCTGGCTGCAAAAGATTGTTAATTAACAGGAAAAATCTGAATGCTTCAAGTATTGACTAGACACCTCCTATATGCTCAAGATACAGGATAGAAGTAGAAATCAAGTTCCACAGTAACCTGAATTACTATTAGTCAGTTAACAATCATTTGCTTGGTAACTACTCTTGGCCAAAGACCATGGTAAGCATCAGGAACCCGACTGGGATAACGAGACCGACCCTCCAGGGGTCACAGAGTAACAGGTGAAGGGGAGAAGCACAGCCAAGTATAAAACTCCTGCAAAGGATTATAGGGTGCTGTGAGGGAAAATAACAGAATATCCAAAGAATCATTGCTAGGTTTTGTTTTTAACAGAAAAGACACGTCAGACACCACAAAGAATCAGGAGCAGTCAGTCTATAGGTAGTGTCATCCTGGCCTGGGAATGTCAGAGAGAATATTCCTAGTCCCCGGTGTCCAGATAAGAGCAGTGGAGGCTGATCCCAGAAGAGGACCACTGAGCAGCTGGCCACACTGGGGGCGTACTCCTCAGGGCAAGGAGGAGGCTGAGAATGGAAGGAGGAAGCCTCCCACTCTAGATCCTTCTCCGGCAGACCCCACTCACCCTGCCAGGGGACAGTTCAGTGGATGTGACTTCCACCCGTGGCTAAGCAAGGAAACAGCCTCTTTGGAGCTTCTCCAATGTTGCAGCTCTCCTGTGCCCCTTGCTGTTCTACTCAGACTCACAGATGAGCCCAGCTCCTCTCCTCCATTCTAAACGCCTCTGTTTCAGGGAAGCGTTTGCATTTTCCTTGGCACAGGTACAGCTTGCTGAATTCTTTTAGGCCAGGCCAATTACAACAAGCCCTAAAATTGCTGAGCCAAGTGGTTTCTTCAGAGATCTGCTTACATTCCCTCCCTGAAAAGAGCAGGGGGCCCACTTCGTGCAGTCTCTGCACACAAAAAGTGCACGTTTCACTTTTAAGGTGGAGTAGGCACAGGACGGTTTTCCCAAAGACAGAA